GAGAGAGAGAGAGAGAGAGAGAGGGAGGGAGAAAGATGAGCGAGAGAAGAGAGAGAAGATGGACAGTAGTAGTACGATATGACCGTCGATCAACTAACGGCCTGGCCCCGGCACGTAGACGAGAAGGATTAGTCTGAACAATGACTGCGTGCATGGAATATCAATCTAACTTCATGCATTACCATATCGAAATGAAACGAAATAGAGTTTAGGGTCGTCAAAACATGTTCAGTGTCTGTTTTTTTCTGTGATTTTTAACGCTTTATGAATAAACTAACTCACGAGATACTAAAATCGTTATCTTCGAAAAGCGTTGATTTCTTTTTGATTTGTAGAGAATTGGCTTTGAGAGCACAGCGATGACAAACCGACCGCACTTCTGTTGACGCGCATTCAAAATGAAAAAAATTCACGTAAAGTTACGTGAAAAGGGAAAGAGTAATAATCAGATTGGCATTGTGCCAAAAGATCAGTATGGATGAATGAAAAAATTGCAAGCTGTTTGAGGGTGTTTGCCACCTCGAATAACAAATATGAATGAAAGGATGATGACGAAATGATATGGTTAGTCTATTATGATCTATGAAAAGCTAATATTTAAACATTGGATAGAAGTAATAAAGGAAAATTACAAATCGTAGTCTTACCTGAGATGTTGGGCTACTTGGACATGGAGAATGACTCATTGGATTGCCGTTATTACTCATTGATGCTCCAGCTGCTGGCTTTGGTGGCAACGGCGGTGGTTGACGGACGGGTCGAGGAGAGTAAAATGAAGGAACATTCGTTGCCTGAAATTCGTGAATAGGCTGAGGTTTCATGTCATTCATCATTCCATTTATGATAATTTTCTGGTTCATTTTGCGCAAAATATAGTGGAGTGTACTTTTCCAATCATTGACAGGCTCCCCCTCCCCATCTTTCACTCACCCACCCACACAATCAATTGCAAAAACAGAAGAGAAAAAAAAAACTAACAAGTTACGTCAAAAAAAGAAATTTCGAATGTTTACGCAATTGGATGATAAGAAGAGTGTTCACGAACCTCATTTTGACGTTCGAGTTGCTCGAAAAGGGCTTTCGTATGACTGAAACGGGCCCGAGCGTCTTCCGTTAAGAGTTCGGAAGTAGTCGCCATCTCGGGCTCGGAGTAATCACCGCTGAGCTTCTTCTTCTTCTGAAATAAAAAAAAGTGAGAATTGGTGGACAAGCTGAGCAGAACGAGAAACGTTTGAAGAACGAATTATTGGAGACGAAAATTAAAAGGGAATAAATCGAAGAATCCCAAGTAAACACACATTTTTCGAGGTTCCGGTTTATGCAAGGTGCAAAGAGCCTAAGGCGATAGGAAAGAAAAAGAGAAGACTCGTCTAATTTCACGTATACTGGCCGTTAGTTAATGCAAAAGCAATTAAATCATAAATGATCCGAAATATTTGAATGAAGGAGACTATTCAGATGACTGGAGACTGTTTGAATAGCAAAAAACGAAAACTGTTCGTAACGTCGAAAAACCGTAAAAGCTGAACGTCATATGCCTGAGGGGCAATATGAAATTCATAAATGTTAAACGATGTTCTTCTGAAGACGAAAAAATGAATAAAAGAACGAAGTCATGCTGGAAAAAGAATGTACGAATGAAGGAGAGTCTTCAGATGGTCTGGCAATTGAACAACCGGTTCAGTAAACAGTTTGTGATGCTGGAAGACGACATGCAATGATCAAATATGGAGATGCTGGAATATGTTGAACAAGCTATTGTAGGCTCAATGACAGCTTCGAACAGTTGTGATAAGGAACCAAAAAAGGAGAGGAGGAGAATACAAAGAAGTCAGATCGTATACATAAGTGGTCGGGATTAATCTCACCTTCTGTAAAGATTTGATACAAAGGAATGAGTTGGATAGAAGGAAAACGACGACGACAACGATGATGATTGAAGGAAGAAGAAGAAGACGGAGGATAGAGAGGCAGAAGACAGATAAAGGAGGTGGATAGACAGGTGAGTGGATATTCGGAACATCACATATTGTCATATATGGACAGCAAAATATAATAAGAGATAAACATAATAAGAGAGAGAGAAGTGCAGAGGGAAATTTTCTTATCTGATAAGGGATTTGTATGTTGTGGCCCTATTACGTCTTCGTTTGCGCCGTTGACATTCAGTGCTGAACGCAAGAGTAGAAGATTCATTTCTGAACGTGCGTTCTTCTCTTGATCGGAAGAAGAGTTGTATAACAAGAGGAAGAAGCAATTACAAATGGCAAATGAGTAAGATAAAGAAAGAGAAAGATAGAACGACGAAGTAATGATAGAACCAGAGATAGAATGAAAAACTGGCAACAACTTGTTGTTATGATCATCTGCTTTCCCAATTCCCTCCTCATTGTATTCGATCTATTAAGTGAAATTCTGATATGGCAGAAGCTGACTAGATGAAGATAATGATGTGACTCTTACTCTCTCTCTCTCTCTCTTCTATCCTCCTCATATTTAATCTTCACTACTCTTTTCTCTATCATGTTGTAATAAAAAGGGAGGAAAAGGTGTTTGTTCATTACTGAGGCGACTTATAAACAGTCGTTTATCCTCTGTGGCAGTTGAATGTTAAGAGAAAAGGTAAGAAGTCATTTGGTCATTAAGAAGTTGGGAAGGGGGCAGAAAAGGCAATCAAAGACAAAATTAAGATAAAATAGACGATTTAAGGAGTGATGGGAAGGAGTAAATGTTGCAAAATACGAACAACAATCAAGAAACATGAGATGAGAGAGATAGAGGTAGAAGAGGTATAAAGGAAATGAAAAAGATCAAACAATATGGAGAGGAACATTCAGGAGGGCTGGCTATTCAGAATATGTGATCCGTGATGGTTTCTAACTGTCTGAATCTTCAACCTGTAGTTCTTGCAGCCACAAGATGATATTAGAGGTAAAAACAAGAGATAGAAGAATGAAGAGAGTTGCAGTTAAAGGAAGACATGAGAGAGACTGTCATCATCCTCAGATGCGACCAACAGATATTATATAAATATGTTATCATGATATTGAACTGATAACAACAATGGATATCAATTCATTTACCCATCCTTTTCCTCTCTTTCATCCTCCCTCTCGACTTATGTCTCTATTACGAGTTGTTCTTTCTCTCATTCTCTTCATATATTCTTCAATCTCTTCATTCACATTTTACGTACCTTCAGGTCATACAAGGACGTCTATGAGAGTCCGAGGCAATCCTACCAGCCGTTTGACGTTCGTCCATATTTCTCAGATGACGACTGTCAGATTCGTCTTCTTCAATATTTCACAAACGATTCTCATACAATCGCATCATCTCTACCATCTTCAAACTGTACAGATTGCGGTAATTATCAAATATTTTTCATCTTTCTCCCCAATAATTTGCAAAAAGAGAAGAGAAAAATATATGAAATGGTCCTATAGGCTATCTTCTTCTCCATATATCTATTCTCCCGTAGGGCATGTATGACTAACGTAATAACGAAAACATCAACACCTCATCATCATCAGAAAATGTATTTCATTACAATTCTAATAACTACGTTCGTTCGTTACTTCATTCGAGCCTTCTTCTCAACTTGGCATCAACCTACACACACACATGCATGGTCGTTAGTAGACATCCTACACTTCAAACATAGCATAAATGAATTTGTAGGACATTTTTGTTGAAACGACAGTAAATTCAATCTCTTGAGCGAATCCCAAAAAACGTCTCCTTGAGGATACTTCGAAATCAACAATTTTATTCACTTTTTCAACAACTTTTTCTTCATTCTCCCACTAATACCAACGAGAACACATTGATTATACCAGACTGACCATAACATGTTATTTCATGTTATAAAAAAGGAATTATATTTCTCTGTTTGAGGACGTTCAAACTTCTTCTATCATGAAATAACAGAAGAAAAAAAAAAGTTTATGAAAACATACGTGTTGCTGAGTATTAGAAGCTAAAGGATTCAACCTTATGTGAAGCTGGAGGAGGAACATAGAGAGTGAGAGAGGGAGGGAGGATGGATGAAAGAGGAGGAAAAAGGAGATTTGATGGATGGAACTCTATTTCTTATCACTCAGCAGTCACAACCGTTCACTTCAAATGCAATATGAGAAATAGAAATCCGTCATGTGAAATCCCACGTGAGTACGTGGTGTATTCAAATTTCATTTTTTTCCGTCATCCTTAGCGGAAGATATAGAGAGAAGTGAGTGAGAGTGGGATGAAATGAAAGGAATTCGTGGAGAAAAGCAAATTATCAACAGAAAAACAAGTAAAAGTATGGCACAGCACCCATGTATGTTTCAAGACAGCAAAAAACAAAAAGAGAGGGAGGAAAGGAGGGTAGTGGGGGTGTTGAGAGTGGCTTGAAGGGTGAACGAAAAGCAAAATGTTTGAGAAAAACGTAAATTGAGAAAGATGAGAAGTTGAATGAAAAAAAAAAGATTCGCAACATGAGTAACGAGAGATTTTAAATGAGAGTCACAAAAAAATAAAACGGATTATTGATTTTTTGAAAAGATATAAATACTAAATGGATTAGTCAAACTATTGGCAGATTGCCGGATTAGGTCAGTCTGCTCAATCGATTTTAACCGTGCCGGTTGTGACCAGAGCATGCTGAATGGTCAGAAGCTCAGAGAAAGAGCCAAATGAAGCTTTCTCTCACTTCTCTCTACCTCTTCTCTGTTTCTCTAATGCGTTCTTTTTCTCTCTTTCTTTCTCTATCTCTCAATCCTCTCATTCTCTCTTCTACGAGCAATTGGAGCTGTTTGAGCTCTAAAACTAATTGGATAAAGCTGAAGAAATTAAAGTTATATAACAGCTCTGTGAATGAAATTTCGATATCATGGGTGGTCAGCGGACAAGTACAACTAGTTAGCAAGGGAATGATCTTTCAACATACGTAGAAGGAAGTGAAGGAAGTAAACGAAAGCAGAGAAACCACACTTTCATTCTTCATCTCTAGAAGTTCTTTCTCCGTTTTTGGTGAAAAATATTAACAACAACAACAATCGAAAAGGGGCTGCTCATAGAAAAAGCTGAGAAAAAAAGGCTCAGAAATCTTAGAATTGAGCCAAAATACATAAGAGAAGGAGGGAAAGGGAAGGAGGGGGGGGGGTGAAATAACACAAACAGATGTATCATGAAGAATAGATTCCATAGAGAGATTAGGTTGCTTAATAATAATTTTGTCTTTTTCTCTCTCTCTCACTTCCTATGTTCTCTCTCTATTTCATTTTCTCTCAGATTCATTTGAACCGAGAAGGGCTACTGCAGAGCTTGAAAGTAGCAATGGATATACAAACTAAACGAGCATGTTCGGATTGTCGTCTCACTCATGGGGTGCAAATGGCTATGGGGATAATGAATAAATAATGTTCTGAGAGGCAGAATTCAGGTTTTCCCTCCTTTCTCTCACTCTCCTCTCTTCCTCAATACAACTGACTGCAGGTATTTGAGCAAGAACTGTTTTTGATTATAAACAAGCAAAACAAAAGGGAACGATTAGGATGTAAGAGAAGATGAACGTGCCAGATGGCGTCATGTTCGGCTTTTTTTTGTCTTTACGAACATGGTCAATCAGAAGGTTGGAGGTCGAATATCGGCGGTTGGATCATCATGACGACCTCTGTCACTCAAGTATTTGCATAGTTTCCATCAACACTAATGAAATTATCACACTTCCGTATTAGGTGAATGATATAATGAAAGAACTATAAGCAATTAGAAGAAGCACGAAGTGTGTGTGTGTCTGTTGACGTCAAAAGAGCAGAGAAGGACGAGACAATTAGAAATTCATCAAAAGAACAAAAGTTTAACTGAAATAAATGTTTGAAAGAATGTAAAGATGCAAAAAAGAAGGCAAGTACATAAATTGTAACATTTGAAGAAGACAAAGCTGGATTAAGAAAGGAAAGACGACGTCGATTCACCGGAAGCTTAAGAAGGAAGTACATAGGGGAGGAAGGATAGTTCAGCTAGAGCCTTTTACATATATGTACAATTGAGATGACCAAGACGAGAAGTTTGTGGAGAAAACGAAAAAATGCATCCGAATATCCACGGCATTTCCATCAATTAACGAACAATACTGACGAAGACGAAGAACGA